ATATTTAAAAATTTTGTTATAGATACTTTGTATTTAGAAGGCTTTAAAACAAAAACGAAACAAATCCAGATAATCAGTCTTATTAAAGTAATTTATTTTCGGATTCAGTTTTTTCATATTGATAAATTTTCAATATTCAACAACTACAAAAGTGTATTGATTTTATTGAGAAAAATCTTTTAAAAATTATTAAAAGTTTTTGTGAAAATGCAATTTTCAAAAATTTCCTCCCACTTCGGCCCAATTTAGAAGTTATTAATACTTTAATATTGTGTTGGCAAATAAGTCCTTTCGGTTTTTAGGGTAAAATGAAGCTCAATTTATTATAGACATAAAATTTATTTTAGTCTACAATATATTGACCATTATTCAATATGACTTTTCCCATGTTTTGTGATTTTCGAAAAAAAAAACAAACAAGTGAGAACATTGTGCAAATAGTTTTCTACGATTGTGTGCGACACATTTAGGGCCATAGCAATCTCTTTCACTGATTGGGTGGGAACAATGGCCTTAACATTACTTGTTTCAATTACATGTGGGCGACCAGACCGTTGAGCATCATTGCTGTCAAAATTTCCTGAATGAAATTTGACAAACCCGTTTTGACCGGTGCGTGCAGTTAAGGCATCGTGTCCATAAACAATACAATTTTTTCTGTGAGCTGCTGCAGCACGCTTAACTTTTTTAAAAAATATAACAATAAATTATGCCGATGGTGAATCGTAATTTCTTCCATATTCACAGTGCAATAGCAAACACAATACTAACTTAGTTTCAACAAGAGTTAACAGATATAGTTGTTGACATGCTACAAACAGGTTAAACAATTCACCTTAGGGGATTAATTCATCCGATAAGAAGAGTATCATATTGACATAAAAATTAATCAGAAAAACCGAAAGGACCTATTTGCCAATTCAATATAATCAATCATTCATGGTTTCGTAAAAAAAAAAAAGAAAATATTTTTTTCATATTAGTTGCATTTATGCATTGTGGTAATATAAAAAGGTATAGTTATTATTGGAGTATACATAATTAGGAAAAAATTATATCAACTTTTATTTATTTATCTAAACTGCATATCGTTTTATGAAAAAAAATATTTTTTTACAAAACCTGTATTAAAAATGATATTTATATTTAAAATATCGTTCGATTGGATGCAATACTATTACCACATTTTACTATTTTCTGGTTTCTGAATTTTAATTTCAATAAAATACTGTGGTTGCAGAGTATTTTCGTTGCAACTTTCTAATTTATTTTTAATTGGTAATTGGTTGACTGACGTGGATAATGAAGAGAAGAATAGTTGGGGTGCTCAGTCAAAAAAGGAAGGCAAAAAATAAATTATAATATTTATTTTTTACATATGCCGACGTTTCGACCTGAAGTTCAGGCCTTCATCAGGGCTTTCTCCTTAAGTGTCAAGGGGAGAATGGCATTCATTCCCCCTTGACACAGGAGAAAGCCCTGATGAAGGCCTGAACTTCAGGTCGAAACGTCGGCATATGTAAAAAATAAATATTATAATTTATTTTCTTCACTACCTAAGTTAGGGAAGCTTTGTATATATATTTTTTTTTTATTTATAATTTCGTTTGATTTTGACAAGCTCATTTATTCCTACTTGAACAGCAACCCTTTTGCCAGACTGGATGGCTCTATTTATTTCAGTGATCCCCCTAAAAGAAGCCGACTCTGCTAAAGTCTAATATTGAAGCAGTATAGAGTGCTGCTACATCACTCTCAACCACTGCTAACTTTTTTTGTTAGGTATCGTATCAAAGCTATTCTTTGTTTCCGACTGTTTCTTTAACTCCAGTCTTGATTGCACAGGAATCCTGGTTTCATGGTTTGTTCTATAATATTCTGCTGAACGTTTTTGTCGTGAAATTCCCCATTAGTTATGGCGCTGTCTGCTTAAAGAAGTTGTTTTTAAGAAGAACATTACTTTGACGAGTAATAGTGTAGAGATATTGGGGTATTCATGTAACCAATGCGAACTATTTGAAACCTCGAAGTCGAATAACTTTATTTACGATTTGTGTATTAAACATGGCCGCTATCACAATCGATTTTAACACGGCCACAGGACTTTTAAAGTTGGTGTTAATTTCGTTAATGTGCGAGGAAGGTCATTCATTATAAGGTGTTCAGCTTCTCTTTACTATTCTCGTTTTAAGTGAAATGGAATGTTGGAAAAGATGCAAAAGGGATTCGCAAACCGTTAAACAAAAGAGGATAATAATATGTTCATATTCTTACGGAAAACATGATGAAGTTCAAAGTGAATAATTTTTTTTTCTCGTTTATTTCACAATAAATTTATGGTTGTCACACTTCATATGTTAAACAGTATTCAAATAAAAAAAAGTCCTTTATAATATTAATCAACTTGTGAAGCACAACTGGAGGAATGTTTCAACTTATTATCACTAATAACACTTTAGCATGATAGCAGAAGAGAGCGTTCACTCAAGGTTCATGCTAACTCTTTAGCACCATAACACATATAACATTTATTACAAGGTACTTGAATCCTAACAGATCCCTAAATTTTACCATGATATAGGTTTTGTTATCCATTTAACATTACAAATTCTGTCGTATAGGTTATTATAGATTTTAAGCAGAACTTTCATGAATATCAGGTTATGAATCATCTCTTCTTTTGGTACAATCCACAACTAATAAACCGTCGAGTAACTTATTTTAACACAATTTTATCATGGTTGGAAAACATGTTATGTTTGATAGTAATATTAACATTTTTATGTTACAATTTTATTTTACGAAATAGTACGGCGATGAAATGGCTACTTCGAAGAGATTTGCCCATCGTCAGTTTCCTCCTCCTGAGTACATATCGATCCCGGATAAGCCTTTAGAGACAAAATATTTCACTCGATTGCCGAGAGGCCCCCCCTCTCTCCCGTTAATTATTTACTACCGGGATATCTCTAAGTCCTTTTTCTAATTAAGCTGAGCCGTCGTCACAGATATTTGTCAAGTACCCAGGTCCGATCCCAGTTCCTAATCATTTCAAATGCAAATGCTTCTCTTCTTTCATCAACCTTTACCCAAGAAATAATTACTTGCCTTTGTCATGATCGTTTTGAGTAAAACGCCCACTGTATTTCAATTTTCATTTCATATTTTACATCTATTTCTTGTTTATAGCGCTGCATTTGTTCTTGTGAATTTATTTTATTTTAATTATTAAAGGATCCGTATTTTTTATACAAAATTTACATTAAGTGATAAGATGAATTTATCTCTAACTAATATGTCGCTGATTTGCCCGATCCAGATACCTATCATTTCATGATAAACTCCTGACGCATCCGAATTCAAATGCTTCTCTCCTTGCTTTCTCCTAGATTCCTCAAAATCCTCCTAGCCGGCTGAAAAGTAAATGGCCTCGAGATCTTCTTACTTAGAACTATTTAGGGATTGCTATCATTAGATAGTATCTAGACTATTTAATACGGTTGTGAATTTCAATAAAAAAAAACAAAAAACATATTAGGACTAAAGCATATTAGGAATTTGAAATGCTTAATTTTCTTTTATCAACTTGAATAGGAACATAAATGGGTAGATAGAACTGCTTGTATGCTGTTTGACCTATAGATCGTTTTACATATGGCAAAATAATTGCTTGGCCTCCTACTGTTTGTTTTGGTAATCAATCCTGTTTCTGTCAAACCCATCGTCTATGATCATCTTAGATACAAGAAATTACTTGTAGAAAGAGGCATGGATCTCCTAGTTCCGAATTACAGACCTTTAACTGAGAATTTTCTCTAGCCAAATTCATATCTATATTTGTCTTTTAAATATGGTGTGCATTTGGGGTGTAGATTTCCTCTGCCTTATTTCTTTGCATGTATGTTGAATTCGTGATTTTAATCGTTCGTTTCATATCTTATCGTGGAATATATTTTAATTAGTTTCTTTCCTGTCGCATCAAACCTTAAAAAGTCATACTGCTCAACCTTGTTGAGCATTCTGTACCAAAGCAATAAACGTCGAGGGAGAAAAAAAGTACATTTTTTTCTACAATTCTTCTATTAATTTCTTCACGAGGACTTTTCATTCCGTTCACAAGTATATTCTGGTTGCATAATAATTTAACAGATATGTGTTAACAGTTGCAGAAATCCAGTCAAAAAACTATTTGTAAAATATAGAAAGGGAAAAAATATGTCTTTTACTGTATTATAATTTGTCTTATTAAACTTATTTAAATAAATAATGTACAGAAAAAATAAAATATTTATCTGTTAGATTTTTTAAAAATAGTTTTATTATTCGTAATAAACTGGAAATGTTAGTTGCAGATCTATTTATCTAGATCTATTCAGATTGTTCGATATTTCATAAGTAGCTTTTTTTTTCAAGTTACTATGGCGTTACATTTCCTATTACGATGCAATATAAAACTACTAAATTGTTTCAAAAGTCTAAACTGTTCTCAGTTTCTGTTAAATCGCAAAAAACACTCTTGTTGATAGAAGTAATAAAGATGTTATTGCATGGAAGTAGTGTTCTTGCAGTTGTCTAGTTGCAGATTCCATTGGATTCGGTAGTCATGATGAAATTCTTGCTAAGCGAGGTAAACCTGTTTCAGAATAAGCGGAAAATTATCATCGTTAAAAAGTATTAAGTTTAACGCAGCGTGTTATGGGGAAGCTTCTCAGCTAGGAGTCGTGTTTCTTGAATAGTCATCGAAATCCATTCGCCGTCGACCGGTATCTTATTTTTCTATGAAGCGTGAGAAGTGAGTTTATGGCAACCATTTGTCATAGTTTATGCGACCTTTTATGGTGGCGATGCATGGATGGAAATCAGCCATTCTTCTTTGCAGGTGTTGGCATCAGCTTGCTTTGAAAACAAGACTAGAAGAGAAAAGCTGATAGTTCTCTACGGCGCACATAAATTAAGCGATATAACACCTTGTTTTTAGCTGACCCTTTTTTATTTTTTATTTATCCTGGAGATGATGACGGCGCTGGAACTGGAAACCAGCCGTGCAGCTGCCGCCCCGACATCTGACCGCAGCGCCATCTGCTCATCCAGTATCGCGGATCCTCTTTCGTAAGGACCTCCGGAGTCTTTATCATGGAGATAATGGGCCGTTTAGTTTCTGGTAGGAGGCTGGCGTTTCCTCCTGTCTCGTGCCTCCAGTTGTCCAGGCTCATTTTATATTCAAAATAACTGCCTGCTCCGACTGAATTTCGGAAGTCATTTAGGAACGAGTTTTGATGTGTCGTTGCGTTTTATCCCGCTTGCTTTGGAGGCGATTCAGTCCTTTAAATTTAGGTTTTTTCATTGATCTCATCCACATGGTGTGACCTCAACGACATAATTTTAATATTTTTTTTTTCGTGGTTTTGAATATTGGTATATTTTTATTATGCTGGTGGTTCCTTGTAGATCTACCGTCATCTGTGACAATTTTTTAAGGTGGAGCAACTTTTACACTTTTTTTTTATTGTTATTATTTATATTCCTTATTTTATAATCAGCTTAGTGAGTCATACATGAGTATTTCAACAATAAATAATAATAATAATAATTGACAAATTGGTGTATAGTCTCATGCAAAAGACACCTTTAAAGATACAAAATACATATAAATATGGATTAATTAAGTTTAAGAAAAATAAAAGCATATAAAATAAAAAAAAAAAGTATCGTGGGATGATTGTTTATTTATTTTCATTTTCTTTTATAATAATAAATACATTTGCCTTTAATTTTTTTTAGACTGTTCACTCTTTTTTTTTCTTACATAATTCTTTATTTGTTATTGTTATTTTGTATTATTATCAAGCAAACTTTAGATTTTATTGCTTTGCAATAATTTATGACTGTAACATTAATTACTTTTTACTTTGATTGGGAGTTATATTTACTATGTTTATTGGATCAAATCTATTCCAATGGTTTTTTTTTTTTTCTTTCATGAAAACAAATATATAAACAAATAATTTTTATGCCAACAAATTCCTGTGTTTAAAGTGCATTGCTTTTAAGTGATATTAACTGGGAATGGTATTTAGGTAGATAGTTGTTTAATGAATTCGTCTATTGTTTCTATTTGAAGTTTAAGATGAAGTTGACTGTTTCTATTTGATTATTATGTATGAATAATAATTATGAAATATTACATTTTGTGGATAATCTAGTTCCTTAATATATCCTGAAAGCCAGCATTCGTTTTTATTTTATCAAAAGACAGTTCATTAATTCATAAAATTCTCTGTTCTTTTTAATCTTTATCGATTGCTTATTGAACTTGAATAATGATGTTCCTATCTTAAATTTCGGATTTTTTTTATCTATGCCAAAATATCTCACTTTGCCTATTCATTTATTCACTAGTAAAAACTGTTTGCTTTATATCAAGTAGGATACAATCTCCTTTATGTTTTTTTTTTTATTTTTAGTTGATTTTAATAATTACTATGATGCATCTGAGTTTAATTGTATCTACCACAAACCAATGATTTACCAGAAAGCTAAACATTTATTATTTTCAGTTTATAATAATTACTGTGATCTTCATATTTTTCATTTTTATATTGTGTTTTCACATTTTTAATATTAATATTTAATATTTTACGATTATTACAATATTTAAACTTTATTATTAGTTTGTTTTTTTGTCTCAGTCTTTCCTCATTATTTTAACGCTATTAATGAGGTGTTTTAAAAAGAAGCTATAAGTAAAAAAAATAATTCTGATTTAGAAAAGAAAAGGCTTTTAAGGAAATAACGTTGATAAGAAGAAAAAAAAGGAAAAAGTTAATTTCACTTTAGTGAACCATTAGCTGGCTAAAGACAATTTACACTCTCGCGTTTGCCACTTTCCATGAAATTGAAAAGTTTTGATAATATCCTTATTTTCTGAAGTATGCCAAGTAGTGTGGCCCAAATGCGAGACCGAGACGAGTCTTGGTCTTGCAAACTCAGTCTTGTCATGGTCTTGGTCTTGCGCAAGAGTCTGGCAACATTCTTGCAGTTACTTATCAGCTTATTACTATAGAGATGTTACTGTAATCTTTTCGATAGGAGGAACCTAACTAAGTCCGAATGACAAATTAGAGGATTTAAATCCAAAATTATATTGGTTATACCAGTTATTAACATATAGTAACTAAGATTTTCAAGTATTAGTAACTATTTGGCCTTAATTTTTATTTTAAAAAATTTATTTTTTTCACCAGTCCTGCTCTTGGTCTTGCAAAGTGCTTGGTCTATTTCGGGCACAACTAATGCCAAGAATTTAAGATTTGTTCTGAGTTTTATTTTCCTGATTCTGTAAATCCATAATAAAAAAGAGCATACATTTTTCATTAAATTATTTTTACAGAAACGTCTTTAATTTTTATCTATTCGGATCGATTTGAAGTGAAGATGTGATCAATATTTGTGTTTTATTTCCGCCTCAAATCGGTGCGGATTCTATTCTGGACTGAGGGATTAATAATCTTTCCCGAGTTTAAACAACAATTCTTTGTTGTTCATAATTTCTCTATTGTTCTACCTTCATGACCTAGTTGGATCATATTACGGTAATAAAATTCAACATGATTTAAGATTGCAATAAAAAGAACATTTCTTAGAGAATTAATGATGATTGCGTGTAGATTGGAAGCACATTATTGCCTACTCATCACGTTGCTTACCATTCAATTTTTTTCGAATACATTGAATTGACTGTAACACGGGCAATAATTATAGTGAGATGTGAACCATATATACAGGAATTAAAATTCACAAAGGTAAAATATTAACTAAGTAATAATCAAAAACTATATTAAATAAGAAATAAAATAACTTAAAAATAAGTAAATTAACAAAATAAAACCGCTGTCATACCTATATACAATCAGGCAGGGAACCCCAACCCAAGCTTCTCCCTTCAACTATAGAGGAAAAAGCAGGACTCCAAGAGATCTCTGCGCTACACTCTCAACTGTGTTAAAGTCAGTGGAGATTGAGCAAGAGCGCATGTCGTATAAAAACTCAAATCATTGCTGATCCCAATCACTCGTTACGAATATCTTTCAAAAACTATAGTGTCTTTTCACCTTTGACGAAATTTCGCCTGATAACATGCAAGTTATATAATCGCACCCTCTGTGTTCTGTCAGCGCTTACGAAATCCGGCTACGACAGCAGTTTTTGTTGTAGTCATTTGTTGTCTGTGGGTTTTGTTGATATTTACCATCTAGTACCGTCTCATTTTACAATTGTTTGTTATGCAATGTTTCATGTTGGAATTTTCTTGCTTCATTTCAATGGATTACTCTAAAGTGAGTTTTGTTTTTTCTACATTGTTTTCAATTAGTTTTTATAAGAATAAAAGTGTTATTCCACTTCCTCTGATGCTCCCTTTTCGCTTGGATAGATTAGATGCTATGATATGAGAAAAAACAAATCGTCGGTTATTGATTTTATCATAGATATTAAGTACACTAGATTTACATAATTGCTACCTTGCGGGCATCAAATCATCTTCAGGCATATCTTCAAGTTTCTCGGTAGGATTGTCCAATGATGTTGGTAAGATATTAGTTTCTTTGCCTCACAAACTTCTTAAAGATATTTTGGTATGACTTCCAAAACGTAGAAATCATGTAAATTTAGTGGAATTGATATAAATTATGTAGTCAATATACATAGTGAAAAAAATAACCACTTAAATAGTTTTGATAGATTCTTTGATCTTGCAATGAAAGTACATGAACGAATAAAGAACTTTTTTTTTTCATTATATTGAGATTTTTCTATAATAGTATGTGATATAGTTTCGATTAAAAAAAAAATTAATTGTTGTGTATAAAATTCGGTCAAAATGAAATTAACACGTTTTGGACGTGGTTTTACTTTAGCCGACGAAAAAATAAACAGCGTATATTTATAGTCAATTCTCTAATGCTATATTATCAGTGCTCTTTCTATGCTCGCTATTATATTTTTGTCATATCATCTAATTAGTAATAAATGTTTTTATTGTAACTTTATTAATTTTTATTAGTTTATTACTTTGTAAAATTTTCTTATCCTTCTTCATCCACCGCAAGAAGCTTCCCCCTTGTGATCCTCTCCGATATGGCTACCCATCGTCACGTCTTAAAGGTTCCTTCTCCAAGACATGCTCATTTTGCTGACTAAGTCCGCCTCAGGGGAGCTTTTTCCTTCCTTTGTGTTTTTCCATCCTTTGTCCGCCCCTCTGAACCATATAATGTGGAATCACCCTACCATGAATCCTGTAAACGCAGGTAGACTCTTTCATAAAACGTCTTCGGTATAGGTAGGTCGTCTACTTTTGAGCAGTGTTGTGGTTAATATGTTAGATTTTAATAATAAAAAAAAAAAAAAATTAAATTTCATTTCTCCGACTGTAACTTATTCTGTCAGTCTATGTTAATTGACTGAAGGAGGAGGTAGTACCCAGAAACTCGAGAATTGACATTCATTAGACGAAATTGTCATGATATTCGACGAAGAATGGTGGGTTTTTGTATTTGTGGACTAAAAAAAATAATAATAAAATTATATAACAGAGATATATGAATTTTATTTGAATTTTGATAACTTGAAAAAGATAATTTCGAAAATGGAAGGAGTAAATGCAATAATTAAGAAGTGGAAAATTATTAAAATAACTCTATACGAATAAATTGTGGATATTAAATTAAAATTTAAAAGGAATTTAATGACTGCATTTATAGAATTCCCATCGTTTCATCACGCTGTAGGTTGGTTTTTGGAAACCCTAGCCTCTTCAATAAAAGAGGCTTCTTCTGATCCTATCCTTGGACGAATAAAATTATGACACATGGAGGAGAACTGTTGAAAGAAACGGGTCAGTCAATATCTCATGACATGAAGGCAAGGAGGTTAAGATGGGCAGGGCATATAGCTCGTAGTAATCCATCAGGACGCCTCTACACGATAATTAATGCCAGAGTAGTAGGCAAGAAACCACGTGGGAGGCCAAAAACAAGATTGATAGATAGGATAAACAGAGATACGGCTGAGCTCCATGCAGCAAACTGGAAAGCAGTAGCCCAAGATAGGCAGAGGTGGAGAAGACTGGTTCAGGCGGCCAAAGATTTACAAGGTCTGCAGAGAAAAAAAATAAATATATGTATGTATATATCTCAAACTTCGAATGATTTGAGTT